CCAACCCTGGCAAACTCCTGCCCAGCTGAATAGAGAGGAGGAAGGTAGACAAGTCAATAACATGACCTGACCCTTTAAGTATGGCTGACTGTGTTTTTGAACTATGACCTGACCCACTGTACATAGTGGCTGACTGTGGTGTTTGAACTATGACCCCTGACCCACTGTACAGTATGTGTCTGACTGTGGTGTTTGAACTATGACCCTGACCCCTGTACAGTATGTGCTGACTGTGGTGTTTGAACATACCCTGACCCACTGGACAGTATGGGGGCTGACTGGGGGTGTTTGAACTATGACCCTGACCCACTGTGGTGTTTCTAGCTGTGGTGTGTATATTCCCAACCAGGTGGGTTGTCTACTGATCAGGTCCAGACAGCAGTGTTTGGTGTCTAACTAGTGTTTCTCCTGGTGTGTTGATGTGTAGGTGGGTGGTATACCACCAGAACCAGACACAGTGATGGGTCTCCACCTCCCACCTGCAGCGCTACCTGTCCTGTTTCCTGGAGACTCAGAGAGCACCTGGAGGGAAACCCCGACTACTGCTGCTCACTCCTGGGTAGTCCACATTAAGCTGTGTACCGGGGGGTCTGAGATCATATGTCCCATGAGCTTACAAAGACAAGTCAACCAGCCAGACAGACCCTCCACCCGCTGCTGGTGTCACTGTTTAAGTCTGTGTAGATTATTAAACGTGGTCCAGGCGGTGCTGTCCCACTGTTTAAGTCTGTGTAGATGTATTAAACGTAGTCCAGGCGGTGCTGTCCCACGTTTTAAGTCTGTGTAGATGTATTAAACGTGGTCCAGGCGGTGCTGTCCCACTGTTTAAGTCTGTGTAGATTTTTTAAATGTGGCCCAGGGGGTTTGCGGGTCCCACTGTTTAAGTCTGTGTAGATGTATTAAAACGTGGCCCAAAGGCGGTGCTGTCCCACTGTTTAAAGGTCTGTGTAGATGTATTAAACGTGGCCCAGGCGGGCTGTCCCCACTGTTATATCTGTGTAGATGTATTAAACGTAGTCGGCGTGCTTTTTTTTCCCACTGTTTTAAGTCTGTGTAGATGTATTAAACGTAGTCCAGGCGGTGCTGTCCCACTGTTTAAGTCTTTTAGTTTGTATTAACGTGGTCCGGGCGGTGCTGTCCCATGTTTAAGTCTGTGTGATGTATTAAACGGTAGTCCAGGCGGTGCTGTCCACTGTTTAAGGGGTTCTGTGTAGATGTATTAAACGTAGTCCAGGCGGTGCTGTCCCCACTGTTTAAAGGGTCTGTGTAATGTATTAAACGTGGTCCAGGCGGTGCTGTCCACTGTTTAAGTCGTGTAGATGGTATTAAACGTGGTCCAGGCGGTGCTTCCCACTGTTTAAGTCTGTGTAGAGGTATTAAACGTAGTCCGGGCGGGTTTGTCCCACTGTTTAAGTCTGTGTAGATGTATTAAACGTGGTCCAGGCGGTGCTGTCCCACTTTTAAGTCTGTTAGATGTATTAAACGTGGTCCAGGCGGTGCTGTCCCCACTGTTTAAGTCTTGTAGGATGTATTAAACTGGTCCAGGCGGTGCTGTCCCACTGTTTAAGTCTGTGTAGATGTATTAAAACGTAGCCCAGGCGTGCTGTCCCACTGTTTAAAGTCTGTGTAGATGTATTAAACGTGGTCCAGGGGGTTTGCTGTCCCACTGTTTAAGTCTGTGTTGATGTATTAAACGTAGTCCAGGCGGTGCGTCCCACTGTTTAAGTCTTTTGAAATTTGTATTAAACGTAGTCCAGGGCGGTGCTGTCCCAACTGTTTAAGAGTCTGTGTAGATGTATTAAACGTGGTCCAGGCGGTGCTGTCCCACTGTTTAAGTCGTGGTGTAGATGTATTCAATGTGGTCCAGGCCGGCGGTGCTGTCCCCACTGTTTTAGAAGTCTGTGTAGATGTATTAAACGTAGTCCAGGGCGGGTGCTGTCCCACTGTTTAAGTCTGTGTAGATGTAATAAACGTGGTCCAGGCAGGGCGGTGCTTGTCCCACTGTTATAAGTCTGTGTAGATGTATAACCGTAGTCCAGGCGTGCTGTCCCACTGTTTAGTAAGTCTGTGTAGATGTATTAAACGTAGTCCAGGGCGGTGCTGTCCCACTGTTTAAGTAAAGTCTGTGTAGATGCATTAAATGTGGTCCAGGCGGTGCTGTCCCACTGTTAAGTCTGTGTAGATGTATTAAAACGTGGTATATACACCCGCTTAACCCTGGACTATGTCTCTGTCTCTATCTGTATACACCCGGCTTAACCCTGACTATCTCTCTGTCTCTATCTTATCACCCGGTCTTAACCCTGACTACTCTCGGTCTCTATCTGTATACACCCGGCTTAACCCTGACTATCTCTCTGTCTCTATCTGTATACACCCGGCTTAACCCTGACATCTCTCTGTCTCTATCTGTAATACACCCGGCTTAACCCTGACTATCTCTCTGTCTCTATCTGTATACACCCGGCTTAACCCATGACTATCTCTCTGTCTCTAGATGTACAGATGTGTTAGACGTGGTCCGGGCGGTGCTGTCCCGCCAACGCTGTGGTCCAGGCCTGTTTCACCATCGGGGCGGTCACAAGCCTGCGTGAACCCTCTCAGCTCATACATGGAACACAGGTCAGCACACCTTTCCACTGGTCACACCTAGGGCTGTGGTGGTCACACCTAGGGCTGTGGTGGTCACACCTAGGGCTGTGGTGGTCAGCACACCTTTCACTGGTCACACCTAGAGCTGTGGCGGTCAGCACACCTTTCACTGGTAACACCTAGGGCTGTGGCGGTCACGAAACTTCGTCAGCCGGTGATTGTCAAGCAAATAACTGTCGGTCTCACGGTAATTTACCGTTAATTAACAAACACATTTAGCATCTCCTGGCTTCCACACATAGCCTACAAGCCACTGATGCAGACCTTTGGAACATCTACATTTTAAAAAGTCTAATAAATCCATGTAATATAGCCTACACCTTCACAATAAATCCATTATTTATTTTAGACAGGTCTAAAGAAACATGATATGAAGAAAATGCAGTCTATTTCAGAAGAACAGAATAGCATCCTCTGAGTTGTCCTTATGTTAGGCCCTGATCTGGCCATGCCATATGGCTGTGGGCTACACTAGTTCATTTAGCAGACAAGATTAGCTTAGAATTCCATGGCATTATTTTATATTATTTTATAGTATGAAGAATAGAATTGAACAAAGCTGAATAAAATAGAAAGGATATTTTCTCCAAACGATTTGAGGGATTGTGCACAGGCGGCTATTCTGTGTTGAGCGGTTAACAAAGAAACAGGTCCTCCTATATGCTTAATTTAGAGTTATTCATGTAACTTTAGTTGTTCTACATGTTTTGATTTTTAATACATTGTAAGGCTGCATGTTGCGACTAATGATGATTTTAAAAAAGTTGCTTGAAAGGCATGAGCTAGCTCTGCTTTGTTTTTTGGCGCAGGCTGTACACACGGTCGTGACGTGACTTACTTTAATGTATGACTGTTATTTATTGAATCACCGAACTATGTTAAATTATCACTTGATTGAATTAATCAGTTAACAATTAACTCATTAGGAATTTGGGGCACCACGGAATAAGTTGTTTAATGAGTTACCATCTCCCGAATTAAACTCTTAGAAGATATGTTATATATCGATAACAGTCACTTGTCACATAATTGATGGTAGCCAGTAGTTTTTAACTGTAATGCTGTTGATTGGTGACGATGACATGAACATGAGTTGGTGTTGACGTCCATACAGGCGTTATACTCTGATTTTTACCTCAACATAGTGTGAAATACAGTTAATACTTTACTTTACACCAAGCGTCATAACCTGTTACAATAGGGTCATAACACTGTCATGACACCTGCTGTGACATATTGCCTCATTTTACGGCTGGTTATGACACCTACATAAGAGTGTAAATCCCATATGACACTATGACACTGTCAAGAAGCATTATGACCATCTTAATCATATGAGCCAGATAGGTCTATCACCTACAGGCCTTTACATCAGTCATCAGTCAGAAAGAGGGTGTCTTGTCCTGCTCCTGAAATCTGCTCCTGCATTCATCCCAGTCATCAGCAACAGAGCATCGGGGTCGGTGCATGTCTGACATCAATGTGTGATTTATAATGATCATTTTAATATGGTCAATAAAAAAATATGAAGTAAACATACTGTTGACAAGTAGGCTATGGTGTAATGGAATGGTTTGCCCTGTGTGGTAGGTTTGGTGGTGTTATGTAGGTGTCATAACCAGCCATAAAATAACGCAATACACTACATGGCCAAAGGTATGTGGACACCTGCTCGTCGAACATCTCATTCCAAAATCATGGGCTTTAATATGGAGTTGGTCCCCCCTTTGCTGCTATAACAGCCTCCACTCTTCTGGGAAGGCTTTCCACTAGATGTTGGAACATTGCTGCAGGGACTTGCTTCCATTCAGCCACAAGAGCATTAGTGAGGTCTGGCACTTATGTTGGGCGATTAGGCCTGGCTCACAGTGGACGTTCCAATTCCTCCTAAAGGTGTTCGATGGGGTTACATTTACATTTTACATTTTAGTCATTTAGCAGACGCTCTTATCCAGAGCGACTTACAGAAGCAATTAGGGTTAAGTGCCTTGCTCAAGGGCACATCGACAGATTTTTCACCTAGTCGGCTCAGGGATTAGAACCTGCAACCTTTCGGTTACTGGCACAACGCTCTTACCCACTAAGCTACCTGCTCTGTGCAGGCCAGTCAAGTTCTTCCACACCGATCTCGACAAACCATTTCTGTATGGACCTCGCTTTGTGCATGGGGGCATTGTCATGCTGAAACAGGAAAGGGCCTTCCCCAAACTGTTGCCACAATGTTGGAAGCACAGAATCATCTAGAATGTCATTGTATGCTGTAGCGTTAAGATTTCCCTTCACTGGAACTAAGGGGCCTAGCCCGAACCATGAAAAACAGCCCCAGACGATTATTCCTCCTCCATCAAACTTTACAGTTGGCACTATGCATTGGGGCAGGTAGCGTTCTCCTGGCATCCGCCAAACCCAGATTAGTCCGCCAGACTGCCAGATGGTGAAGTGTGATTCATCACTCCAGAGAACGCGTTTCCACTGCTCCAGAGTCCAATGGCGGCGAGCTTTACACCACTCCAGCTGGCGCTTGGCCATGGAAACCCATTTCATGAAGCTCCCGACCAACAGTTCTTGTTTTGCTTCCAGAGGCAGTTTGGAACTCGGTAATGAGTGCTGCAACCGAGGACAGACTATTTTTACGCGCTACGTGCTTCAGCACTCGGCGGTCCCGTTCTGTGAGCTTGTGTGGCCTACCACTTCACGGCTGAGCCGTTGTTGCTCCTAGACGTTTCCACTTCACAATAACAGCACTTACAGTTGACCGGGGCAGCTCTAGCATGGCAGAAATTTGACAAACTGACTTGTTGGAAAGGTGGCATCCTATGACGGTGCCACGTTGAAAGTCACTGAGCTCTTCAGTAAGGCCATTCTACTGCCAATGTTTGTCTATGGAGATTGCATGGCTGTGTGCTTGATTTTATACACCTGTCAGCAATGGGTGTGGCTGAAATATCAAAATCCACTAAATTGAAGGGGTGTCCACATACTTTTGTGTATATAGTGTATGTCACAACAGGTGTACATATATGGGTCATGACAGTGTTACGATATATGACATGGTTATGACTGTGTTATGATATGACATGGTTATGACTGTGTCAAGTAAAGTGTTACCGGAAATACACATGTAAGCATAGCATAAATGGAGACTCATTTTGCTGGGGGCAATGAGGAGACTCACGGCCTTTTCCCCCACCCGTTTCCATGGCACCTTTTACCCCACCCGTTTCCATGGCAATTCCATTGTTTCAGTCGAGGTCCATTGACCTCTTAACCATATCTATGTTAACTGATGTGGCTCATGCAATGGAATGGAATTTTTTTAATGTCAATTGAGTTGATTCAACAAATCACAGCACAGATTGATGGGTAAACTTCTGTTTTGGCTTCTATGGGTACAATCGCAATGGCCGCCAGTCCACCCATTATGCCATCATTGACTTAAATGGGGGTCCTTTCTTTTTTTGGGGCTAATGGGGTGTTAGCCTAATTTAAAAACCCATCGTACCATAACGATGTATTATTAAATTTCTTTAACCTGGGCCGAAAAGGGGTGTTCCCAGCTTGGGGGTGCAGCCAGAGAGACCCCCTTTCAACGCTGACCCCAGCCAAAACCCCCACCGTTAATGATCTGTCCTCCAATGTTTTTTCCTTCAGGTTTTTTACTTTGTTTGGCTACCCTTTTTGTTTAACTGGAATCTTTAGATGGGTTTATGGTTTCCTTGGACAGTGTAAACCCTTATGGAAAGAAAGGGATTTTCTTAGACCCCGAGTCTCGATGAGGCCCTGTGTCGCGGGCCCAACCTTGGGGGAAATTTTTCCCCCCTTTCCAACCTTCCCCCCCTCAACCCTCTCGCCTCCCTTCCCCCCCTGCCCCTCCCTCCCCCCCCCCGGCCCACCCCCCCCCCCCTTCCCAAAAACCCCCCTTCCCGACCCCCCCCCCCCAAAAAAAAAACCCCCCCCCCCCCCCCAAACCCCCCCCCTTGCCCCCCAACCCCAAAAGGGCCCCCCCCCCCCCCCCAAAAACCCCCCGCCCCCCTTTCCCGCCCCCCGGGTTTCCCCCCCCCCTCCCCTCGAGCCCCCCCCCAACCCCCGCCCCCCGGCCGCCCCCCCCCCCCCCCCTCCCCCCCCCCCCCCCCCCCCCCCCCTCCCTTTCCCTCCCCCCCCCCCCCCCCCCCCCCCCCCCCCCCCCCCCCCCCCCCCCCCCCCCCCCCCCCCCCCCCCCCCCCCCCCCCCCCCCCCCCCCCCCCACCCCCCCCTCCCCCCCCCCCCCCCCCCCCTTTTCCCCCCTTTCCCCCACCCCCCCCCCCCCCCCCCCCCCCCCACCCCCCCCTCCCCCCCAAAACGTTCCCCCCCACCCCCTCTCCCCCCCCCCCCCCCTCCCCCACCCCCCCCCAAGCCGCCCCCCCCCCCCCCCCCCTGCAACCCCCCCCCCCGCCCCGGGCCAAAAAAAGGGGGGCCCTCCCCCCTAAACTCCCCCCCGGGCCCCCCCCCCCCCCCCTTTCCCCCCTCCCCCCCCCCCAAAACCTGCCACCCTTCCCCCCTCCCCCTTCCCCTAACTCTCCTCCTCTCCCCTCATCTCTTCCTCTCCTCTCTCCTCCGCCTCCTCCTCAACTCCCTTTCCCCTTTTCGCCTCCTTTAAAAACTACCCTCTTCTCCTCCCCCTCTCCTCCACTCTCTCTCCACTCCCCCCCCTTCCCCCCTCCCCTCTCTCCTCTCCCTCTTTTTCCCCTCCTCCCTCTATTACTCCCCTCTCTCGGCTCTCCCCTCCTCTCCCCTCTCTTCTCCCTCTCATACATTATTTACGTAAGTATTCAGATGCTTTTGCTATGAGACTTGAATGTTGAGCTCAGGTGCATCCTGTTTCCATTGATCATCCTTGAGATGTTTCTACAAACTTGATTGGAGTCCATCTGTGGTAAATTCAATTGATTGGACATGATTTGGAAAGGCACAACACCTGTCTATATAGGTCCCATAGTTGACAGTGCATGTCAGAGCAAAAATCAAGCCATGAGGTCGAAGGAATTGTCCGTAGAGCTCCGAGACAAGATTGTGTCGAGGCACAGATCTGGGGAAGGGTACCAAAACATGTCTGCAGCATTGAACATAGTGGCCTCCATCATTCTTAAATGGAAGAAGTTTGGAACCACCAAGACTCTTCCTAGAGCTGGCTGCCCGGCCAAACTGAGCAATCGGGGGAGAAGGGCCTTGGTCAGGGAGGTGACCCGATGGTCACTCTGACAGAGCTCCAGAGTTCCTCTGTGGAGATGGGAGAACCTTCCAGAAGGACAAGCATCTCTGCAGCACTCCACCAATCAGGCCTTTATGGTAGAGTGGCCAGACGGAAGTCACTCCTCAGTAAAAGGCACATGACAGCCCGCTTGGAGTTTGCCAAAAGGCACCTAAAGACTCTCAGACCATGAGAAACAAGATTCTCTGGTCTGATGAACCCAAGATTGAACTCTACAACACTCACTACTAAGTTCCAAACTGCTTCTGGAAGCAACATCAGCACAATAACTGTTCGTCGGGAGCTTCATGAAAAGGATTTTCCATGGCCGAGCAGCCACACACAGGCCTAAGATCACCATGCGCAATGCCAAGCGTCGGCTGGAGTGGTGTAAAGCTCGTTCTCTGGAGTGATGAATCACGCTTCACCATCTGGCAGTCCGACGGCCGAATCTGGGTTTGGTGGATGCCAGGAGAACGCTACCTGCCCCAATGCATAGTGCCAACTGTAAAGTTTGGTGGAGGCGGAATAATGGTCAGGGGCTGTTTTTCATGGTTCGGGCTAGGCCCCTTAGTTCCAATGAAGGGAAATCTTAACGCTACATCATACAGTGACATTCTAGACGATTCTGTGTTTCCAACTTTGTGGCAACAGTTTGGGGAAGGCTCTTTCCTGTTTCAGCATGACAATGCCCCCGTGCACGAGGTCTATACAGAAATGGTTTGTTGAGCCTCCCAAGTGGTTTGTTGAGATCAGTGTGGAAGAACTTGACTGGCCTGCACAGAGCCCTGACCTCAACCCCATTGAACACCTTTGGGATGAATTGGAACGCTGACTGCGAGCCAGGCCTAATCTCCCAACATCAGTGCCCGACCTCACTAATGCTCTTGTGGCTGAATGGAAGCAAGTCCCCACAGCAATGTTCCAACATCTAGTGGAAAGCCTTCCCAGAAGAGTGGAGGCTGTTATAGCAGCAAAGGGGGGGACCGACTCCATATTAATACCCATGATTTTGGAATGAGGTCTTTGACGAGCACGTGTCCACATACTTTTGGTCATGTATTGTATGTGTTGAGCTTTAAGAGATTTGCACCACTTTTCAACCTCATGTTCATTATCTCCAGCACAATACCAGCGTCTACAAATGTGAAAACATATATAAAGTTGAATAGTTCTACGCGATGACATCATCAAAAGTAAAAATAATTTGAAAATAAAATGATTTTCAAACACTGAGTTTCGCGGTGACGTGGGGAGCAAAAATACCCTCTCTCTGGCTAGAAACTTTTAATCCTACCCTGTGATGTTACAGAGAAGCCTTTTTTAGGACCTTATCTTTTTAACCACAGATCAAATCAAATCACATTTTATTTGTCACATGCGCCGAATACAACAGGTGTAGACCTTACCGTGAAATGCTTCCTTACAAGCCCTTAACCAACAATGCAGTTCAAGAAATAGAGTTAAGATAATATTTACTAAATAAACTAAAGTAAAAAATAAAATAACACAATAAAATAACAATAATGAGGCTATATACAGGAGGTACCGGTACCCAGTCAATATGCGGGGGTACAGGTTAGTGGAGGTAGTTTGTACATGTAGGGAGGGGTAAAGTGACTATGTACTGATAATAAACAGAGTAGCAGCAGTGTAAAAACAAGGTGGGGGGGGGGGGGGGGTCAATGCAAATAGTCCAGGTGGCCATTTGAATGAATTGTTCAGCAGTCTTATGGCTTGGGGGTAGAAGCTGTTAAGGAGCCTTTTGGTCCTAGAATTGGCGCTCCGGTACCGCTTGCCGTAGATCATAGAAACGTGCTGTTTTCACATATGTAGACACTGGTATGGTGCTGGAGATGATGAACATGAAGTTGAAAAGTGGTGGAATTGCTATTTAATGTCAACCCCTGCTGCTGAGCTCAGTGGTGTTTCCTCTCTCCATACAAGGCCTTGAGAGCTCAGCTTCTATCATAACCTGTCAGTCTGATCATTGACCCCTCATTAGCTTCTATCATAACCTGTCAGTCTGATCATTGACCCCTCATTAGCTTCTATCATAACCTGTCAGTCTGATCATTGACCCCTCATTAGCTTCTATCATAACCTGTCAGTTTGATCATTGACCCCTCATTAGCTTCTATCATAACCTGTCAGTCTGATCAAGGACCCATCATTGCTGTTGATCTCTAGCTAGCGTTACATCAGTGCAGACCACTACCAGTCTGCCCTCTCCTATTGCAGCAGACCACTACCAGTCTGCCCTCTCCTACTGTAGCAGACCACTACCAGTCTGCCCTCTCCTACTGTAGCAGACCACTACCAGTCTGCCCTCTCCTACTGTAGCAGACCACTACCAGTCTGCCCTCTCCTACTGTAGCAGACCACTACCAGTCTGCCCTCTCCTACTGTAGCAGACCACTACCAGTCTGCCCTCTCCTACTGCAGCAGACCACTACCAGTCTGCCCTCTCCTACTGTAGCAGACCACTACCAAGCTGTTGGCCAGGCGGTTGCCATGGACACAGACTGGCTGGCCTCTCTACCTCTGGACCAGTCCATTTATACACCAGACGTCACCTCATTGGTCAGCTTGCCTCATTAGAACTGGTTCTAAAAGCAGCTCAAACACAGGGTATCTGCTGAGAGCTTGCTATTATCTGCTATTAGAGGGATTCTCTGAGACTCCTTTTGACCTACTCAATGCAGCATGCATGAATGCCCGTCACAAGGTTTAATGTGTGTCTGTCAGGTGTAAGGGCCGGTTCAGCAGTGGCTGTGGGTCCCTGTCTCTGGTCCACCAGTGTGTGATGTTCAGCCTTCCCCTGGAGAGACCTCTGTTTCTGACACACTGTAAAGGTAAGAACCTCCTAATAATTACATCAATCAATAAAGTGGAACCCATAAAGACCATTCTCTCCTAATATGGAGTCTGAGGTGTCATGACATGGCACACCTTCCTAAAAGATTCCCAGTACAATAGAATTGGAATGATTTAATTATATCAAATGGTATTTGTCACGTGCTGAATACAACAGGTGTAGTAGACCTTACCGTGAAATGCTTACTTACAAGCCCTTAACCAACAAAGCCGAGTTAAAAAGTAAGAAAGAAAATAAATAGATAAGGAGACCATAGACTAGATGTACCAGAACTACCAAGTCAATGTGCAGGGTACCAGGTAGTGGAGTTAACATGTAGGAGTAAAGAGACTAGGCATAGATAATAAACAGAGAGGAGCAGGATGTGTTAAAGTGTGTCTGTGTGTATGTGAGCGTATGTAGTGTGTGTGGGTTGTAGTGGCAGTGTAGTATGTGTGAGTGAGTGTGCATGGAGCCAGTGCAAGAATGTCATTAAATAAAAAAAGGGGTAAATGTAAATAGTCCAGGTAGCCATGAACTGTTCAGCAGTCTAATGGCTTGGGGGTAGAAACTGCTAATAGTCTGGGTAGCCATGAACTGTTCAGCAGTCTAATGGCTTGGGGGTAGAAACTGCTAATAGTCTGGGTAGCCATGAACTGTTCAGCAGTCTAATGGCTTGGGGGTAGAAACTGTTAAGGAACCTTTTGGTCCTAGAGTTGGCGCTCCGGTACCGCTTGCCGTGCGGTAGCAGAGAGAACAGTCTATGACTTGGGTGGTCTTTGACAATTTTTAGGGTCTTCCTCTGACACCGCCTGGTATAGAGGTCCTGGATCGCAGGGAGCTCGGCCCCAGTGATGTACTGGGCCGTACACACTACCTTCTATAGCGCCTTGCGGTCGGATGCCGAGCAGTTGTCATACCAAGCGGTGATGCATCTAGTCAATATGCTCTCAATGGTGCAGCTGTATAACTTTTTGAGGATCTATATAGTGTACAATACAATGCTTAACCATGTATATGATGCAGTAAAATATTTTATACAGTTTGATATCCTACCAGTCTCTCTCTGCCCCCTAGCCTTCAAGTCAGCTCTGAGTCCAAACCCTTTCAGAGGAAATGTCTACAACATCTGGGGGAAGGTCCTCTTCTCTGGTAGGGTCTCTGTTATTCTCACTCACTGACAATATACAGAACACAACACCACTCTAATGGTGATGGATGAGTAGACGTGTTTAGTTGTACTACTTATCAATAATCATACAGGTATTATTGTACTACTTATCAATAATCATACAGGTATTATTTCAGATGTCTTCTGTAATACTAAATGAATGTCAATATTTAACCTGTACTTGCATTCCCAGTTGTGGTTGTTATAAGATAAATGTTTGCCCTCAAGGCAGGCAGCACCAGCTGAGGGTAGGAAACTGTTCTTTAAGAGTTGAGCTCCTTCACTCTCCACTGGTTTAGTTTGGTTAACTTCACCCTCCACTGGTTTAGTTTGGTTAACTTCACTCTCCACTGGTTTAGTTTGGTTAACTGTCTCACTCTCCACTGGTTTAGTTTGGTTAACTTCACTCTCCACTGGTTTAGTTTGGTTAACTTCACTCTCCACTGGTTTAGTTTGGTTAACTTCACTCTCCACTGGTTTAGTTTGGTTAACTTCACTCTCCACTGGTTTAGTTTGGTTAACGTCACTCTCCACTGGTTTAGTTTGGTTAACTTCACTCTCCACTGGTTTAGTTTGGTTAACTTCACTCTCCACTGGTTTAGTTTGGTTAACTTCACTCTCCACTGGTTTAGTTTGGTTAACTTCACTCTCCACTGGTTAGTTTGGTTAACTTCACTCTCCACTGGTTTAGTTTGGTTAACGTCACTCTCCACTGGTTTAGTTTTGGTTAACTTCACTCTCCACTGGTTTAGTTTGGTTAACTTCACTCTCCACTGGTTTAGTTTGGTTAACTTCACTCTCCCACTGGTTTAGTTTGGTTAACTTCACTCTCCACTGGTTTTAGTTTTGGTTAACGTCACTCTCCACTGGTTTAGTTTGGTTAACTTCACTCTCCACTGGTTTAGTTTGGTTAACGTCACTCTCCACTGGTTTAGTTTGGTTAACTTCACTCTCCACTGGTTTAGTTTGGTTAACTTCACTCTCCACTGGTTTAGTTTGGTTAACGTCACTCTCCACTGGTTTAGTTTGGTTAACTTCACTCTCCACTGGTTAGTTTGGTTAACGTCACTCTCCACTGGTTTTAGTTTGGTTAACTTCACTCTCCACTGGTTTAGTTTGGTTAACTTCACTCTCCACTGGTTTAGTTTGGTTAACTTCACTCTCCACTGGTTTAGTTTGGTTAACTTCACTCTCCACTGGTTTAGTTTGGTTAACTTCACTCTCCACTGGTTTAGTTTGGTTAACTTCACTCTCCACTGGTTTAGTTTGGTTAACTTCACTCTCCACTGGTTTAGTTTGGTTAACTTCACTCTCCACTGGTTTAGTTTGGTTAACTTCACTCTCCACTGGTTTAGTTTGGTTAACTTCACTCTCCATTGGTTTAGTTTGGTTAACGTCACTCTCCACTGGTTTAGTTTGGTTAACTCCACTCTCCACTGGTTTAGTTTGGTTAACTTCACTCTCCACTGGTTTAGTTTGGTTAACTTCACTCTCCACTGGTTTAGTTTGGTTAACTTCACTCTCCACTGGTTTAGTTTGGTTAACTTCACTCTCCACTGGTTTAGTTTGGTTAACTTCACTCTCCACTGGTTTAGTTTGGTTAACTTCACTCTCCACTGGTTTAGTTTGGTTAACGTCACTCTCCACTGGTTTAGTTTGGTTAACGTCACTCTCCATTGGTTTAGTTTGGTTAACGTCACTCTCCACTGGTTTAGTTGGGTTAACGTCACTCTCCACTGGTTTAGTTTGGTTAACGTCACTCTCCACTGGTTTAGTTTGGTTAACGTCACTCTCCACTGGTTTAGTTTGGTTAACGTCACTCTCCACTGGTTTAGTTTGGTTAACTTCACTCTCCACTGGTTTAGTTTGGTTAACTTCACTCTCCACTGGTTTAGTTTGGTTAACGTCACTCTCCCACTGGTTTAGTTTGGTTAACGTCACTCTCCACTGGTTTAGTTTGGTTAACGTCACTCTCCACTGGTTTAGTTTGGTTAACTTCACTCTCCACTGGTTTAGTTTGGTTAACTTCACTCTCCACTGGTTTAGTTTGGTTAACTTCACTCTCCACTGGTTTAGTTTGGTTAACTTCACTCTCCACTGGTTTAGTTTGGTTAACTTCACTAACCACTGGTTTAGTTTGGTTAACTTCACTCTCCACTGGTTTAATTTGGTTAACTTCACTAACATTTTAACATTTTACATTTTAGTCATTTAGCAGACGCTCTTATCCAGAGCGACTTACAGTTAGTGAGTGCATAAATTTTCATACTGGCCCCCCGTGGGAAACGAACCCACAACCCTGGTGTTGCAAAGGCCCTGCTCTACCAACTGAGCCCTGCTCTACCAACTGAGCCCTGCTCTACCTACTGAGCCCTGCTCTACCAACTGAGCCCTGCTATACCAACTGAGCCCTGCTCTACCAACTGAGCCCTGCTCTACCTACTGAGCCCTGCTCTACCTACTGAGCCCTGCTCTACCAACTGAGCCCTGCTCTACCAACTGGGCCCTGCTCTACCAACTGGGCCCTGCTCTACCAACTGAGCCCTGCTCTACCAACTGAGCCCTGCTCTACCAACTGAGCCCTGCTCTACCTACTGAGCCCTGCTCTACCAACTGAGCCCTGCTCTACCTACTGAGCCCTGCTCTACCAACTGAGCCCTGCTCTACCAACTGAACCCTGCTCTACCAACTGAGCCCTGCTCTACCAACTGAGCCCTGCTCTACCAACTGAGCTACAGGGGGCCACTGGTTTAGTTTGGTTGATTAGTTTCTCTTCACTTTATTCATACAGATGTTTATGTGATGTTGTTGAATGAGGAGCGAGAGCAGAATGAAGAGAGAGCAGATGTCTGAGAGAGCAGATGTCTGAGAGAGCAGATGTCTGAGAGAGCAGATGTCTGAAATGTGGAGGTTGAATGATTCTGTAGCTGATGGTCCTAGGCGTGTTCCTTACTAGTTTCTGTGAATTTTAAGTTACCGTCCATTGAATTACACTAGTTGCATTGATTTTGTTTGTTCATGTCTTCCATTGAATGGTCCATGTTGTTTGAGTCATTCTGGAGTTGGATCATGGATAGATGGATGTTGTAGCACTGAACCCCTCCTTATCCTCAGCATGCTGTCTGGTATATGTAGCTGCCACAGTGGTAGGTCCATCAGACCAGGCATTAGACCATCAGACCAGGCATTAGACCATCAGACAGGTCAGTGAGATGCTGATATATCTCCATGTTCTTCTCCAGACTCTGAGAGGATGATGGAGGTGAGCTACAACACTGTGAGTGGGAACCTCTGTATCACCCAGCAGCCCCTGGGGGACAGCCACCAGGGAGACCAGGAGCCCTCTGGATGCTTCCTGGTGTTCCATGGAGTGGGATTGACACAGGAGGCCCTGAAGGACTGGCTGAGGTTCTGTGTAAAACAGGTACAACACTGACTAACTGACCATCTAACTGACCATCTAACTGAACTGACCATCTAACTGAACTGACCAACTAACTGACCATCTAACTGACCATCTAACTGACCATCTAACTGAACTGACCATCTAACTGAACTGACCATCTAACTGAACTGACCAACTAACTGACCATCTAACTGACCATCTAACTGACCATCTAACTGACCATCTAACTGACCATCTAACTGAACTGACCATCTAACTGAACTGACCATCTAACTGAAACTGACCATCTAACTGAACTGACCATCTAACTGAACTGACCATCTAACTGACCATCTAACTGAACTGACCATCTAACTGAACTGACCATCTAACTGAACTGACCATCTAACTGACCATCTAACTGAACTGACCATCTAACTGACCATCTAACTGACCATCTAACTGACCAACTAACCCAACTAACTGACCATCTAACTGAACTGACCATCTAACTGAACTGACCATCTAACTGACCATCTAACTGACCATCTAACTGAACTGACCAACTAACTGACCATCTAACTGAACTGACCATCTAACTGAACTGACCATCTAACTGACCATCTAACTGAACTGACCATCTAACTGACCATCTAACTGACCATCTAACTGACCATCTAACTGACCATCTAACTGAACTGACCATCTAACTGACCATCTAACTGACCATCTAACTGACCATCTAACTGAACTGACCATCTAACTGACCATCTAACTGACCATCTAACTGAACTGACCATCTAACTGACCATCTAACTGACCATCTAACTGAACTGACCATCTAACTGAACTGACCATCTAACTGACCATCTAACTGACCATCTGCTGTAGACAAGTTGCAGACGGTGATGTTATTGTCACTAACATCAGAGGTAATATAGTCATCTTGGTGTTGTCTTGTTTTCAGAAGGAGGTGAGGAAGGTGAAGAGGACCCAGATGAGCCTCTCTCCTCAGGAGATCAGGAACATCCATGTGAGTGTTCCTCTAATATCATATATAATATATCATCTCTCTTTACCCGCCTGTCCGTCTGTCTAACTGCCTGCCTGTCTGTCAACTTGCCTGCCTGTCTGTCTGTCTAACTGCCTGTCTGTCAACCTGTCTGTCTGTCTGGCTACCTGCCTGTCTGTCTACCTGCCTGTCTGTCTACCTGCCTGTCTGTTTGTCTGTCTACCTGCCTGTCTGTCTACCTGCCTGTCTGTCTACCTGCCTGTCTGTTTGTCTGTCTACCTGCCTGTCTGTCTACCTGCCTGTCTGTCTGTCTGCCTGTCTACCTGCCTGTCTGTCTGTCTAACTGCCTGTCTGTCTGTCTGTCTGTCTGCCTGTCTGTCTGTTTGTCTGTCTACCTGCCTGTCTGTCTGCCTGTCTACCTGTCTACATGTCTGTCTGCCTGCCTGTCTGCCTGTCTGTCTGTTTGTCTGTCTACCTGCCTGTCTGTCTGTCTAACTGCCTGCCTGCCTGCCTGTCTGTCTGTCTGTCTGCCTGTCTGTCTGCCTGTCTGTCTGTCTGTCTGCCTGTCTGTCTGTCTGCCTGTCTGTCTGCCTGTCTGTCTGCCTGTCTGTCTGTCTGTCTGTCTGTTTGTCTGTCTACCTGCCTGTCTGTTTGTCTGTCTACCTGCCTGTCTGTCTACCTGCCTGTCTGTCTGCCTGTCTACCTGTCTGTCTGTCTGCCTGTCTGTCTACCTGCCTGTCTGTTTGTCTGTCTACCTGCCTGTCTGTTTGTCTGTCTACCTGCCTGTCTGTCTGCCTGTCTACCTGTCTGCCTGCCTGTCTGTTTGTCTGTCTACCTGTCTGTCTGTTTGTCTGTCTACCTGCCTGTCTGTCTGCCTGCCTGTCTGTCTGTCTGTCTGTTTGTCTGTCTACCTGCCTGTCTGTCTGCCTGTATGTCTGTCTGTCTACCTGCCTGTCTGTCTACCTGCCTGTCTGTCTGTCTACCTGCCTGTTTGTCTGTCTACCTACCTGCCTGTCTGTCTGCCTGTCTGTCTGTCTGTCTGTTTGTCTGTCTACCTGCCTGTCTGTCTGCCTGTCTGTCTGTCTGTTTGTTTGTCTGTCTGCCTGTCTGTTTGTCTGTCTACCTGCCTGTCTGTCTGCCTGTCTGTCTGTCTGTTTGTCTGTCTACCTGCCTGTCTGTTTGTCTGTCTACCTGCCTGCCTGTCTACCTGCCTGTCTGTTTGTCTGTCTACCTGCCTGTCTGTTTGTCTGTCTACCTGCCTGCCTGTCTACCTGCCTGCCTGTCTGTCTGCCTGTATGTCTGTCTGTTTGTCTGTCTACCTGCCTGTCTGTCTACCTGTCTGTCTGCCTGTCTGTCTGCCTGTCTACCTGTCTGTCTGTCTGCCTGTCTACCTGTCTGTCTGTCTGCCTGTCTACCTGCCTGTCTGTCTGTCTACCTGCCTGTCTGTCTGTCTGTGTGTTTCTGTGTTCAGGTGAAGAGACATCTGGACCCTTTACCTCCAGGCTTCTTCTACAATGGACAACAGTATGTCAGTTTCTTTGGAGAAAAGAACAACTTCCATCCACGTATCCTTTTATCGCTACTGTCTGTCCTCAACACAACCATTGTAAAACCATAGCATCTTATACAGACCTACTATCGTTGGTTTAGCTGTCCTTACATTAAGCCCCTGCAGAAATGGACCAGTTCATAGCGGAGTATGTTGAGGAGGCCAACAGAGAGATCGACCTCTTCAACAATCGGCTGGAGCAGCAGCAGCAGCACCATGACCTGTTTGACCCTTAGTGACCCCTAATGACCCCCAGGGTTAGGGTTAGAGGTCGTCTGTCTCGTCCTTTTACTGTTTGTCCTCTCCTTCTCAGCACATCTCAAAGGGAAACACGGGGGAGTGGGGCAGGGAGACTATTACCATACATACTGTAACCTCCACTATACCATACATACTGTAACCTCCACTATACCATACATACTGTAACCTCCACTATACCATACATACTGTAACCTCCACTATACCATACATACTGTAACCTCCACTATACCATACATACTGTAACCTCCACTATACCATACATATATGGGTGATAAACATAACTGAATCAAGACATTATTATGGCGAGAGAGTACAAGCTTTCCGTCCAGATGACAGGTTCAACTTTCCAGTGTCAGTCAGTATCATTCTAGTGCTAGGGAGGTTTCTAATAGGCCAGGAGAATTGGTTGTATTTGTAGGCTGGCTGTTGGCGGGACTCCACTGGTTCCCTAAGGGGTATCCCAAGAAACGCTCTCCTCTCTCGTCTCCTTTCCTGACCGGTCATACGATCTACAGCCCACCTGTTAGTTAGCTGCTCTCTGTATCTGCCTGGTGTGGTGATAGAAACTGGAACTACTAGCTAGACCAGCACACAGCTCTAGTCAGCATAGCAACACGGTCAGGGCTGGATCCCTCATCTCTCCATCCTCAGTAGCATAATGTCATGATGTGGGTGGGCTACTGGTTGGAATGGGGATGAGGCCAGTTTGGGCTGGGTTAGGAGGGTTTGGGTTGAGGGTGGGGAGGGTAGGACTGGTGTCTACAGGGATGGGTTAGTAGTGGTGTCTACAGGGATGGGTTAGTAGTGGTGTCTACAGGGATGGGTTAGTAGTGGTGTCTACAGGGATGGGTTAGTAGTGGTGTCTACAGGGATGGGTTAGTATGGTGTCTACAGGGATGGTTGTAGTGGTGCCTACGGATGGGTTGTATGTGTCTACAGGTGAGGGTTTATGGTGTCTACAGGGATGGGTTAGTAGTGGTGTCTACAGGGATGGGTTAGTAGTGGTGTCTACAGGGATGGGTTAGTAGTGGTGTCTACAGGGATGGGTTAGTAGTGGTGTCTACAGGGATGGGTTAGTAGTGGTGTCTACAGGGATGGTTAGTGTGTGTATTACAGGTGGGTGTTTAGTAGTAGTGTCTACAGGGAGGGGTTGTAGTGTGTCTACGGGGATGGGTTAGTAGTGGTGTCTACAGAGGGTTAGTCGTGGTGTATACAGGGGGGTTAGTATGGTTCTACGGGATGGGTTAGTATGTGTCTACAGGATGGTTAGTAGTGGTGTCTACAGGTGGGGTTAGTAGTGGTGTCTACAGGGATGGGTTAGTAGTGGTTCTACAGGGATCTGGTAGTATGGGTTCACGGATGGGTTGTTGCTGTCTACAGGATGGGTTAGATGGTTGTCTACAGGGATGGGTTAGTAGTGGTGTCTACAGGGATGGGTTAGTAGTGGTGTCTACAGGGATGGGTTAGTAGTGGTGTCTACAGGGATGGTCAGGGTCTTTAGTGGTGGTGTTGACCACATGCAGTTCCTTGATGTGGGACTTAAGCTGCATCCACTACCTGTTAGATAGATAGATGGTGGAGGTATCTTACATGTTCTCTCAGGACCACCTGTCATGTGATGTTCCTGGTGATGGGACTTAAGCTGCATCCACCACCTGTTAGTAGATAGATGGTGGAGGTGTCTTACATGTTCTCTCAGGACCACCTGTCATGTGATGTTCCTGGTGATGGGACTTAAGCTGCATCCACTACCTGTTAGATAGATGGGATTTAAGCTGTGTCCACTACCTGTTAGATAGATGGGATTTAAGCTGTGTCCACTACCTGTTAGATAGATGGGACTTAAGCTGCATCCACTACCTGTTAGATAGATGGGATTTAAGCTGTGTCCACTACCTGTTAGATAGATGGGATTTAAGCTGTGTCCACTACCTGTTAGATAGATGGGATTTAAGCTGTGTCCACTACCTGTTAGATAGATGGGATTTAAGCTGCGTCCACTACCTGTTAGATAGATGGGATTTAAGCTGTGTCCACTACCTGTTAGATAGATGGGATTTAAGCTGCGTCCACTACCTGTTAGATAGATGGGATTTAAGCTGTGTCCACTACCTGTTAGATAGATGGGATTTAAGCTGTGTCCACTACCTGTTAGATAGATGGGATTTAAGCTGCGTCCACTACCTGTTAGATAGATGGGATTTAAGCTGCGTCCACACTACATGATATTCACCGCGGATGTCATGTTCATGCAACATCCTGATATTGTTAGGATGTGGTGTGTTGTGGAGGCATCGTACATGTTCCTTCAGGACTACATCTATAGTAGAACCATCCACTCAGACAATACTAGTACTATACTACTACAATACTAGTACTGCACTGCTACAATACTAGTACTACACTACTACAATACTAGGACTGCACTACTACAATACTAGTACTACACTACTACAATACTAGGACTGCACTACTACAATACTAGTACTGCACTACTACAATACTAGTACTGCACTACTACAATACTAGTACTACACTACTACAATACTAGTACTACACTACTACAATACTAGTACTACACTACTACAATACTAGTAACTGCACTACTACAATACTAGTACTGCACTACTACAATACTAGTACTGCACTACTACAATACTAGTACTACACTACTACAATACTAGTACTACACTACTACAATACTAGTACTACACTACTACAATACTAGTACTACACTACTACAATACTAGTACTGCACTACTACAATACTAGTACTGCACTACTACAATACTAGTACTGCACATACTACAATACCCAGTCTGCACTATACAATACTAGTACTGCACCCACTACAATACTATAACCTGCACTACTACAATCTATACTGCCTACTCAATACTAGTACTGCCTACTACAATAAATAGTACTGCACTACTACATACTAGTTCTGCACTACTACAATACTATACTGCCCCTACTACATACTAGTACCTGCACTATACAATACTATATGCACTACTACAATCTAGTACTGCACTACTACCAATACTAGTACTACACACTACATACTAGTACTACACTACTACCAAACCTAGTATACACTACTACACTCTAGTACTACACTTACTACAAAACTAGTACCTGACTACTACCATACTAGTACTCATCACTACAAACTGGACTGCCACTACTACCCAAAACTAGTACTACTACACTCACTAATACTAGACTGCACTACTACAATCTATACTTCACTACTACAATACTAGACTGCACTACTACATACTAGTACTACACTACTACAATACTAGGACTCACTACTACAATACTAGTACTGCAACTACTACAATACTCGGACTGCCTACTACAAAACTAGTACTGCACTACTACACTACTAGGACTGCACTACTACATACTATACTACACACTGCAATACTAGGACTGCACTACTACAATCTAGTACTACACTACTACATACTAGGGCTGCACTACTACCATCTAGTACACACTACTACAATACTAGTACTGCACACTACAATACTAGTACTACTACTATACAATACCTATAATGCCACTACTACAATACAGTACTTACAGTATATCTGTCTGCTACCAAGCCTGTCATCATACAGTCCATCTATACCAAGCCTGTCATCATACAGTCCCTCTATACCAAGCCTGTCATCATACAGTCCCTCTATACCAAGCCTGTCATCATACAGTCCCTCTATACCAAGCCTGTCATCATACAGTCCCTCTATACCAAGCCTGTCATCATACAGTCCCATCTATACCAAGCCTGTCATCATACCAGCCTGTCATCATACAGTCATCTATACCAAGCCTGTCATCATACAGTCCATCTATACCAAGACTGTCATCATACAGTCCTCTATACCAAGCCTGTCATCATACAGTCCCTCTATACCAGCCTCCATCATACCGTCCATCTATACCAATCCCTGCATCATACAGTCCCTCTATACCAAGCCTGTCATCATACAGTCCATCTATACCAAGCCTGTCATCATACAGTCCCTCTATACCAAGCCTGTCATCATACAGTCCATCTATACCAAGCCTGTCATCATACAGTCCCTCTATACCAAGCCTGTCATCAATACAGTCCTCTATACCAAGCCTGTCTCATACGTCCCTCTATACCAAGGCCTGTCATCATACAGTCCATCTATACCAAGCCTGTCATCATACAGTCCTCTATACAAGCCTGTCATCATACAGTCCATCTATACCAAGCCTGTCATCATACAGTCCCTCTATACCAAGCCTGTCATCATACAGTCCATCTATACCAAGCCTGTCATCATACAGTCCCTCTATACCAAGCCTGTCATCATACAGTCCATCTATACCAAGCCTGTCATCATACAGTCCCTCTATACCAAGCCTGTCATCATACAGTCCATCTATACCAAGCCTGTCATCATACAGTCCCTCTATACCAAGCCTGTCATCATACAGTCCATCTATACCCAAACCTGTCATCATACAGTCCCTCTATACCAAGCCTGTCATCATAAGTCCCATCTATACCAAGCCTGTCATCATACAGTCCCTCTATACCAAGCCTGTCATCATACAGTCCATCTATCCAAGCCTGTCATCATACAGTCCATCTATCCAGCCTGTCATCATACGTCCCTCTATACAAGCCTGTCATCATACAGTCCCTCTATACCAAGCCTGCATCATACGTCCACCTAATACCAAGCCTGTCATCATACAGTCCCTCTATACCAGCCTGTCATCATACATCCCTCTATACCAGCCTGTCATCATACAGTCCATCTATGCCAAGCTGTCATCATACAGTCCCTCTATACCAAGCCTGTCATCATATAGTCCATCTATACCAAGCCTGTCATCATACAGTCCCTCTATACCAAGCCTGTCATCATACAGTCCATCTATACCAAGCCTGTCATCATACAGTCCATCTATACCAAGCCTGTCATCATACAGTCCATCTATACCAAGCCTGTCATCATACAGTCCCTCTATACCAAGCCTGTCATCATACAGTCCACCTATACCAAGCCTGTCATCATACAGTCCCTCTATACCAAGCCTGTCATCATACAGTCCATCCATACCAAGCCTGTCATCATACAGTCCATCTATACCAAGCCTGTCATCATACAGTCCCTCTATACCAAGCCTGTCATCATACAGTCCCTCTATACCAAGCCTGTCATCATACAGTCCCTCCTATACCAAGCCTGTCATCATACAGTCCATCTCTACCAAGCCTGTCATCATACAGTCCATCTATACCAAGCCTGTCATCATACAGTCCCTCTATACCAAGCCTGTCATCATACAGTCCATCTATACCAAGCCTGTCATCATACAGTCCCCCCATGCTTGACATGCCACTGTCTGTCTTAATAGAGAATGATCCAGTCCTCTGCTAGACGTGCTACTGTCTTAATAGAGAATGATCCAGTCCTCTGCTAGACTTGCTTCTGTCTTAATAGAGAATGATCCCTAGCCACTAAGTTAGTTACTTTTGTGTCCATGCATGTTCCAGTCAGATTCACACCCAGTCAGTCAGTCAGGAAAGAGAGACAGACTACATCACGTCACAATCCTCCAGACCCACGTTACTATTCATTCTCTTAGCTTACAATCCCTCCCTCTCCTTAACTTTATCAAGTGCAATTGTACTCTGTTTTTATATGTATTCTAACTACCTTCACAGAACTATTTTAAGGACTAGCTGATTAAATAAGGACTGCATTCTCAGTCTCAGCATTGGAGTGAGTTGAGATTTGCTCAACGTTCAGTAGCATGCTGTTCTAATCCCTAAAGCTCTGTGTCTGTCTCCGGATGACTGGTCTCTTCTGACAAGTCCTCTGTCTGCTTAGAGCAAAAGTTGTTTTCATTCGCAATACCACAGAGACCTGGTTGAGTCAGAGACACAGAGCCATAGCTGAGGGTGATTGGTATTCTACAGCAGGAGACTGAAGATGCCATAACTAGAGGGCTTAATGGGCCATGTTAGGAAACAGACACTGATTGGTCTACGGCTTAGCTATCGGTCCTTAAAGGGTTCTAGAGGGATATTATTATGATAGAACATGTTTGTGACAGTAACATTACTTAGTAGCACATATGATACCACACTATCTGCATGTGTTAGGATGTCCTTTTAATATATAAATGATATATTCTGATACTGTTGCCTTTCACCAAACTGGTACAACCAAGAGAAAATGATCACATTTATTTTACAGAACTGGTGAGAATTGAAGTACCTCAAAGACACCACAAGAGTATTTTTGTAATGTTGTGAATTGAACAGAGAAAAAGCTAAGTGTCAATCTTTTTCTCACACAATTGAATAAAGAAGCAAAGCAGAGAAATGTTGTGAGACGTGAAGTTTCTCTGGTCCAGCAGTGCCTTGGCCCGTTACTATACGGCTAAGAAATAACCCTGTTCAGATCTCCAGCCCCCTCTAGTCTACATTCTACTGTTACTGTACATGACGGGGCTGGAGGCTGGGGAACCGTGCTGAAACGGTATTGGTGAAAGGAACCGTGCTGAAACAGCCTGGGTACCAGTCTATTTGTGCCATCATGCCACTCCTTGGCGGTTTGGCATGACAAGGAGACACAAACAGATCTGGGACCAGCTACCTTAAACAGTGTTGGTGAAAGGAATGAATCCATGGAATTGTTCTTTAAGCAATGTGTTACTCAGCCAAAGGGGGCAGTAAGTCCCAGGGGAGGGAGGTCACTCGAGGGCTCACACCATTTCTAGTAGTAAAGAAATTATACAAAGCAAAAATTATTCTGGATGGAAACCGGGTTCTCATTATTCTGGATGGAAACCGGGTCCTCGTGTGGTTCTGGTTTCAAGGCTGTTGTCGAAAATGAGGATGATGAGTTAGTGGTTGAAGTAGAGCAGCTTACCCTGTCCTAATGGTTAACTGGGTACAGGGCAGGGTAGTGGTCAGCTGTTTGGTTTGGTGACCCACCTTATTGCACAGTGGGCCCCAGAACAGAGCCCTCTAGAGGTTCTCCCCTGTAACTCAGAGCTAAATCTATGGTTCTGATTCAACTCTTCCCCCTCAACCCTCTGGCTACGTTGGATTCATGATGTATGTGGATGCTAGCAGCTTGTAGCTGAAGTTATAGGACAAAAACAAAGTTTAGTGTTCCCTGGTTTTATATGAGGGAAATGTGACCAGTTCTAATAAAGGAGTAGTCTGGAGATTGGCTCCAAGGTTCCAAAAAGACCACATTTGGAATATATGCACTTTTTGATGAAAACTGACATTTGAATTCATTGTATTTTTATGTTTTGTAATGGAGTAATTATCTCAGCTGTAGTCATAGTGATCCTTCTCAGGCCTACAGTAACTTATACAGTACCCTGACTTACAGTAACTTATACAGTACCCTGACTTACAGTAACTTATACAGTACCCTGACTTACAGTAACTTATACAGTACCCTGACTTCAGCAGTCTGGCCAGGCCTACAGTAACTTATACAGTACCCTGACTTACAGTAACTTATACAGTACCCTGACTTCAGCAGTCTGGCCAGGCCTACAGTAACTTATACAGTACCCTGACTTACAGTAACTTATACAGTACCCTGACTTCAGCAGTCTGGCCAGGCCTACAGTAACTTATACAGTACCCTGACTTACAGTAACTTATACAGTACCCTGACTTCAGCAGTCTGGCCAGGCCTACAGTAACTTATACAGTACCCTGACTTACAGTAACTTATACAGTACCCTGACTTCAGCAGTCTGGCCAGGCCTCCAGTAACTTATACAGTACCCTGACTTACAGTAACTTATACAGTACCCTGACTTCAGCAGTCTGGCCAGGCCTCCAGTAACTTATACAGTACCCTGACTTACAGTAACTTATACAGTACCCTGACTTACAGTAACTTATACAGTACCCTGACTTACAGTAACTTATACAGTACCCTGACTTACAGTAACTTATACAGTACCCTGACTTCAGCAGTCTGGCCATTCCGTCCTTTAGGTGTTAAAAGGAATCAAAAGTTTCAGTGGGAGTAATAACTCAGGTATATACACTACTGTTCAGAAGTTTGGGGTCACTTAGAAATGTCCTTGTTTTCGAAAGAAAGGCAATTTTTTTGTCCATTGAAATAACATCAAATTGATCAGAAATACAGTGTAGACATTGTTAATGTTGTAAATGGCTATTGTAGCTGGAAACAGCTGATTTGTAATGGAATATCTACATAGGCGTACAGAGGCCCATTATCAGCAACCATCAGTCCTGTGTTCCAATGGCACGTTGTGTTTGTTAATCCAAGTTTATCATTTTAAAAGGCTAATTGATCATTAGAAAACCCTTTCTTCTGAAACACGTCAGTCTATTCTTGTTCTGAGAAATGAAGGCTATTCTATGCGAGAAATTGCCAAGAAACTGAAGATCTTGTACAACAGTTGCAAAGAAAAAGCCATATCTCAGACTGCCCATCTTAATCTTTTCTTTTTATTGGCCAGTCTAAGATATGGCTTTTTCTTTGCAACTCTGACTAGAAGGTCAGCATCCCGGAGTCGCCTCTTCACTGAAGCTGCCAGTTGAGGACCTGTGAGGCGTCTGTTTCTCAAACTAGACACTAATGTATTTGTCCTCTTGCTCAGTTGTGCACCGGGGCCTCCCACTCCTCTTTCTATTCTGGTTAGAGACAGTTTGCGCTGTTCTGTGAAGGGAGTAGTACACAGCATTGTACGAGATCTTCAGTTTCTTGGCAATTTCTCTAGTCTCAAGAAGGCCAGTTTTATTGCTTCTTTAATCAGCATAATGGTTTTCAGCTGTGCTAACATAATTGCAAAAGGGTTTTCTAATGTTCAATTAGCCTTTTAAAATGATAAACTTGAATTAACAAACACAACGTGCCATTCGAACACAGGACTGATGGTTGCTGATAATGGGCCTCTGTACACCTATGTAGATATTCCATTAAAAACCAGCCGTTTCCAGCTACAATAGCCATTTACAACATGAACAATGTCTACACTGTATATCTGATCAATTTGAAGTTAATTTAATGGACAAAAATTGCTTTTCTTTCGAAAACAAGGAAATTTCTAAGTGACCCCAAACTTTTGAACGGTAGTGTAGGTCTATAGGAAGGTTATAGGTCAGGGCCCAGATTCACAAAACCTTCTTAAGAAGACATTTATTCTTAACTGCCATTTATTCCTTAACTATAGACTTCTGAAGAAAGTTAAGCAAAGTTGCTATTCCTCAAAAAGGTTATTGGAAATGTCATTGCGTTATTTCATGTTGTTTCTCTTTAAGTAAAAGGTTAAGAAGAAATTAGATTCTTGAAAATAAAGTTATTGTATTTGTTCTTGGATAGCGAAACTCAGGGCAGTGAGAGAATAAGCTAATTAAAGCAATTGAACGTGTTTAATTCACTCACAAACTTCATCTGAAAGTTTAAGTATTAATTATTTGAAACCCAAGAACGTGTTCTAGAACAGTAATCTCAGTACGAAATATGCTAACATGATTGCCATTGCTAGCTAGATAGTTAGCTAAATCGGTTTGCCTAGTAACAATCATTTTAAACAGATAGTTCAGTTTGTAAGAAGATATTTGAGAAGTTTGTAAGAAAATCATAAAATCTTAAGATATTGTTGAGGAATTGCACTAATGAACTATCTTATGAACGAAAAAAAATTCTTAAGAAGCTTCTTACATTTTTGCATAAGAAGTATTTTGTGAATCTGGGTCCACGTTTCCACCCTGTCAAACGCAGGTTCAGTCGTGGTTAGTCTGCCAATCCTAATCAGAAGCTGATAGCCCATTGTATGGGGAAAAACTCTTATGACAACTACATTTATAAGTTTGAAAATGTATTGATTTAAATTGGAGGTAGTTTATGGCATGAACATGATGGTAAACTAAAGACTGTCTTTTCACCTCTACAACCAAGTTATTACATTAAAATAAACTCATCTATATTGCCTCAAAAAATGATTTCCGATGTGGAACTTGAAAAGTGCCAACATGTTTGAGGATGTTCACAGAAAGCATGTGAAATTAACTGAGTCGCATTTGCACAAAACTACTGTAACTTTTTTTTTCTTCCTGTGACTGATGCTTTTATAACCTTATTGTGGTATTTATTGCACCAAATAATCCATTAAAATATTGATATGGTTAAATAGTCTCATTATTTTTGTCATTGTCAGATATTAGTGTATATACAGTACCTTGCAAAAGTATTCAGACCCCTTGGATTTCTTCAAATTTGTGTTAACGTGGTTTTCAATGGATTTCATTGTAATTTATTCAACAACATACTCTGTCAAAGTGGAAGAAATGTTTAACTTTTTTATTTTTATTTTTAAGATTAACGATTAAGTAACTAAAATATAGTCATTGCATAAGTATTGACCCTCTTTGTTTAGACGGGGCTAAATTAGTTCAGGAGGAAAATGTGGCTTAACAAGTCACATTATAACTTTATATGGACTCACTTTGTGTGTAATAAGTGTTTAACATTATTTTTTAAATAATCATTCATCTGTCCCCCATACATACATATGTAAGGTCCCTCAGTCAAGTATTGAATTTCAAGCAACTACAAAGACCAGGGAGCT